TTTGTTTTTTGTTTTTTGGTTTTTTTTAGATTTCTTTTTTTTAATTTGATAGAGATCACAAGTAGGCAGAAAGGCAGGCAGAGAGAAAGAGGCGGGGAAGAGACTCCCTGCGAAGCAGAGAGCCGGATGCGGGGCTCTATCCGAGGACCCTGGGATCATGACCTGAGCCTAAGGCAGAGGCTTTAACCCACTGAACCCCCCAGGCGCCCCAAATGGAGATAGTTTGTATCAAAACAAGCTGAAATTGAACAGAGGTCCCTGATTAAATGGTTGAAGAGGTTAGATTTGTGTTTATTCATGTGAGGTTCTTGGAATGTCTTCACTAGGGTTGATAGAAATGCTTGCTTAAATGCAGATTATTGGGCCATGACCCAGATATAATGGATCAAAAATCCTTGGTTGTATGTTTCAGGAATCTGTATTTTAATAAGTACCTCCAGTGATTTTTAAGCATGTTCAGGTTAAAAGGAATAGCCCCACAGAGGCCAGGGAAAACAAGAACAGATGAAGGATAAAGCCCAGAAGAAGTACAGATCTCCCTCAATTTAAGATGGAGTTATCCTGATAAACCCATTGTAAACTGAAAACAGTGTGATTTGAAAATGCATTTAATACAGCTAACCCACTGAACATGATAACTTTGCCTAGCCTACCTTAATATGCCAGAACACTTAATTATCATAGAAATCCCATTCAGTTTTCTAGCACCAGGTTAATCACAGGCATTTTTTTTTATAGCATTTCAGTCTTCTAAGACTTTTATAGAGACTGGGAGAAATACTTGCAAATTGCTTTAAATAATGTGATTTTAGGAATATATCAGTAGTAGGTGGAATAATTCCCCTTCTCCCAAAGATGTCCATGTCCTAATCACCAGAATTTGTGAATATATTATTTTACATGACAAGGAGGAATTAAGGTTACAGATGAAACTAAAAATTTTAATGACCTTAAAATAAGAGATTAACCTGGATTACCCAGGTAGGCTCAATTTAATCACAAGGGTCCTTTAAATGTGGAAGAATCAGAGAGACTTGAAGATGCTATGCTGCTGGCTTTGAAAATGGGGGAAAAAAGGATCACAAGCCAAGGAATATGGGCCATCTCTAGAAGCTTGAAAAAAGGCGAGGAAGAAACAGACTTTCCCCCACAGCCTCTAGAATGAACCCAGCCCTGCCAATGCCTTGATTGTAGCCCAGGGATATCCATTCTGGGCTTCTGACCTCCTGAACTGTAAAAGTGTAAATTTGTTGTTTTAATCACTAAATTTATGGCAATTTCTTATATTAGCTAAACTAATATCTAAGTTTTATACTTTTAATTTTAAAACATATGTCTCATTTCTCTGTCAGACTGTAAGTTCCTCTAGACCAGTAATCAACTTCTGTGCTTGACACACAGTATACATGATAAATGTTTATTGAATTTGAACCATTCTATATATCACATGTTCTCTCCATCATTTTTGGGGAGAGTTATTTACCCAACTCTCTCTACTCACCTGGGTACATGCTACATGCTATATAGAGTAGCAGCTGCATTGCAATCAATACCTAGTTCTGAACCTCTTCCTTAGTGACTTGATTAGAAAAGAGGTACTCATTTCAACCAGTTGGTTTTCTCTGGCTCAAATGTTTTAGTACATGAGACATCTTCTAATCAACAGTTTCATGGGCTTCTTGTGCCTCAGTTTCAACTGCTCTAGAATAAGACTACCTGTCTGAGAAACCCCATCCTCCTGAGTTTTATAGAAGCTCATATTTTAATTTGTACCATCCCAAACATAGTCTCAAAATTTGGTGAAAATTTAAAAAAATATTTTCTCAAAATGCAGAAAAGGACCTACAGACAAACTACTTATTATTATAGATTTATGTCCATTTCCCTCCCAGTCTTTAGATAAAAACCAGCATAATTGAAGACTTAGAATGGAGACAGTTTTAGATGTATTATGTACTGTTCCTTGGGATGTAATATGTATTAGTAATATATTGCTGCTGTAATTTAGTAGCTTAAAACAAGAAACATTTATTATATAATTTCTGTTGGTTAGAAATCCAGGAGCAGCTTTCCTGGGTGGTTGTGACTCAGGGCTTCTTAGGAGGCTGCATCAAGTTGTGCGTCAAGGCTGCGGTCATCTCATGGCTTGACTGATGGAGAATTTACTTCCAAGTTCTTTCACATGGTTGTTGGCTGGTCTCAAAAATCTGCATCTAAGCTCACCTATGTAGCCCTCACAGGGCTACCTCACAGCAAAGCAGCTGCTTGTCCCACAGTGAGTCATCTTGCTAAGACAATGCCCAAGCAGAAGCCACATTCTGTTGGAGACAAGTCAGTAAATCCAGCCCATACTTAAGGGAAGGGGATCATTGGGGGCCATCTTAGAAGCTGCCTACCACACATATAAATTAGTGAGTTCATTAGTTTACCAGAGACTAGATAATCAACTTTATAATGTTCCTGACTGAAATTAAGTTTAATAATATCAAACAATTTTTTTAAAGACTCTATTTATTTGACAGACAGAGATCACAAGTAGGCAGAGAGGCAGGCAGAGAGAGAGAGGGGGAAGCAGACTCCCCGCTGAACAGAGAGCCCAATGCGGGGCTCGATCCCAGGACTCTGGGATCATGATCTGAGCCTAAGGCAGAGGCTTTAACCTACTGAGCCACCCAGGCGCCCCAATAGCAAACATTTTGTGAGAAAACCACAAATAAGTTTCTCATATTAGAAGATAGGAAATAAAAAGGGAAGCCTTTTAGCTTTCACAGAGTAAATTCAGAAGGTACATTAAAATAACACAATTTGCTTTTTTAAATCATACTTCCCTCAGATTGTCTACTTTAAACTTCATCCCTTCATTTTAAAAATCGTACTTATCCCTCATTTTTTTTAAATAGGGAAAAAATTTAACGCATGGTTTATCATAGAAGATTTCCAAAGGACATACAAAATACAAGCTACTATTACACCACCACTCAAATGGCTAAAATTAAAAGACTGACAACACCAACTATCAGTAAGAATGTAACACAACTAGAACTCTCAGTTCACATTTTTTATGAAGTTAATCACAATCCCACTCCTCCTTATTTTACACAAGAGAAATGAAACTATATACACAAAAAACAGTAGATGAATGTTCATAGGAGCCTTTTCACAATAGCAAAAAAACTAGAAACAGTTTTATGATTACATTGTGATATAATCATATACATACAATGTACCTAGCAAGAAAACTGAAAGAACTAATGATAAATGGACCAGTACATTTATGTATACAAATACTGAAGAATTCAGAGGAGAAGATCTTTCTGCCTGGGGCTACTGAAGGAAGACAGAATTTTTGTGCTTCCCTATGATGACATTAGAAGATGGGAGTTTAGAATTAGAAGTTGAAAGGGTGACATAAGGATGAAACTAAGGTGGAGAAGTCTAAAAGGGGGATGAACTGTTAGGGGACTCCAAAAGATTATGGGGAATAAGATTGCTTGGTAAAGTGCGCACCAACAGTGATGTACCTTAAGTTCTAGACTGAGCAATAAGGAATTGACTGTGGGTGAGTGACTTTCCAACTGAAATGAAGCTAAGAAATCACTGTAATAAGGCAATACAAATTTTACATTCTTTTTTTTTTAAGATTTTATTTATTTGACAGATAGAGATCACAAGTAGGCAGAGAGGCAGGCAGAGAAAGAGGGGGAAGCAGGCTCCCTGCTGAGCAGAGAGCCCGATGTGGGGGCTCGATCCCAGGACCCTGGGATCATGACCTGAGCCTAAGACAGAGGCTTTAACCCACTGAGCCACCCAGGTGCCCCAAAATTTTACATTCTTGAATGCGACTTGTGAATGGGATAACATCAGGTTATGAACACTGGTATTTATACAAATACCAAACATGATTATTGTTATATGTATTTTTAAATAAAACACAAATCTTTTTTCAATGAAAGGTATTTAATATTAATAATAGAATAATAGGGAGTGGCATTCATAAATGCATTAAGAAGAAAAGTTTCTCTTAAAGGAAGGGAAATTAGGGGAATTTAAGGGAAATTAAGTTTCAACACACTCTGTGGGCCAGATACTGTGCTTTGTGCCTTCAGATTACATGCTTTAATCTCAACAACAGGGATGTGCAATATTATTCTCATTTTATTGCAGTGGAAATTTAGGTTCAGGAAAAAGGCTTGAGTTCTAATTAATGCACGTACTACATATACAGAAGGAATACTATTCCTCAAAGGTTGGTGAAGGGACTACTTGAAGTAAGATCACCAGGGATGCGTTTCCACAAACCACACCCGGAACTAGTAAATTAGATTGAGATATTGTTGGGGGACAGAAATATGCATTTCTAACCTGCTCATTTGGTTACTCGGTAATTTCAAAATAAGTTTGAGAACAGCTATCTTAAGACACAGGAGATATTTTTTCTGTGTGGTGATTTCTGATACTAAGAGTTCTTAGAAACAAAAGCCTCATAAAGGTGATCTGTAGCTTTATTTTTGACTATTAGAATAATGTATATTTACAGTATTCATAACCTAGCTATATTTCTCAGTGCTCATATTTCCTAAATAAAGAGTTAAAAAATAAATAAGCCAGCATTCTTTATTGGTTCTTACTAGAATTTATATTTTTTGGCTGCCTAAGATGACCTCTACCTGGTACTAATATTTTTCAGTCCTTTTTTTGGCCATTTCCCTTAGTGCTGGCCTAAGCTACCTGAGATGTGTTACTTTGTATTTGCCGTTTTCATACAATAAGAGTTAAATAAAGATGTATTTTTATTATATATAGATTAATTATAGTAGATAGGAAATGGAATAGTTTTTGTATTCATGAATAATGGATCTTTGGGAGATAATTCCATTTGCCTAAATTCTTTTGTCTCTTTAACAAGACTATCAACACAAAATAATTCTTTGTAGTATTTAGCTGCCTACTTATGACTTAAATTCCAAAACTTACTCTTGGATGATATGTATTTTCAACAGTGATTCTTTTATTGCACACCGAGAAAGTATGCGACAGATGATGAGAAGTTTTTCTGAACCCTTTGGAAGAGACTTGCTCAGCATCTCTGATGGTAGAGGAAGAGCTCATCATAATCATATGAGACATGATGATGGTGAAAATTCCTTGACTGTAAGTTCTTTATTTTAAGTTAGTGAGAAGGCCCTATGGGATTTGAAGAAAATTATTACAGAAGAATATAGAAGAATATATGTATCTTTGATGTTAGGATATGAATAATGCTTGTTATAGAAATAACTATTGTATAAAAGGATGGACCTGTTGGAAAGCTGAATCCTTTAAAATTGAATTGTTAGCTGTATGGAATTCCACAATGCTACCAAAACTTTAAGATCATATTATAAGCCAAACAAAGCATTATTTTACGTATGTGTCTATAGTTTGTTCTGCATGGCTACCTTGGGCCTTCAAAACTTAGATTAACTTTTAACTGTATTTAACTTGCATAACTACAGAATATTTTCATAAGTTTTATCTGAGAGCAAAAGTAGGAGGTTATAAATATATTCAACTAGAAAAAAAAGTCTCGGATGCTTATATATCTTAATTACTTTCTTCTCTGTTTATTTTATTTCTATTGCTTTTTCAGTCTCAGAAGTGGCAGTTCTAGAATAAAAATCCACAGGAGTATCTGGTTTTGGTTTCTATTAATTAGTTAAATTTTGTTATTACATAAGTCTTTCATACTTAGACATAAATATGTCACATGTATCGCAAATTAGAGAAGAAAAGGTGAGCCATATTTTGCTAGTATAAATTATAAGTATACAGAAAAAATGAGTTTTGGCTAAAAGAGAGACTGAATATTTCAAATAGTCCTAAGAAGTTTGATGGATAAAATTAGATTTACTATATGAATGAAATTTTCACAATCCTTTTCTTATTATTCCAGTATGGATTATTCATATTCCAATTTGTTTTCTTTCAATTAGTGAATAGTGGTATTTATATCTGTATTTTTTTACTTTTAGGACTATCAGTTTCCATAAAAGTCTAAAATTAAGATCTAAGGAAAAATTATCAGGGAGGGCAGAAATGCCAATTATAAAGACATTTTGAAATTTTATCTTTCAATGAGCATTGAAATATTTTGTCTGTTTGCTATAAGCATAGCAAGGCAGAAGTAGGGCTCTATATAGTACTTTGTATTTATGTGCATAAATGAGCTACTTGTAGCTTTTGTGGAAGAAGGAAAAAGTGACAATTTTATTCCCAATGGAAAAAGACATTATATCATATCAACCGTCTTAGAATGCTAACATCAGTGCACTTTTTTCTTCTTCAAACTGTATGAAGACCCTTTGCCAGCCAGGAATACTGAGTATTGTCCTAGGGCAGTAATAATTTTTAAAATAAAGATTTATAGCAGAGTTACAGCAGATTTTCCAAGGAACATTCAGCCTCTCTTTTAGCCAAACTCATTTTATAATTTATACTGGTGAGAAATGGCTCTCCTTTTATCCCATAGGGTATGATATATTTGATATGTGTATGTCTAAATGTGAAAGACTAAACGTAATAGCAAAAATAAAACAAAAAAAAGTTAGCCAAACAAACAATAACAACAAATGACCTCTATGCCAACCTGAACTTTTCTAAGTTCAGTTATATGTGAAGGTAGAAACAGAAACTAAAAATTGACTGCAGAAGATGGGAAAGACTGCTGCTATTTGAAAAGAGCACAGCCAAGAGAACAATAGACTTTCTGAGCATGCTAGCTGTTCTAGTCCATTTAAACTTTAATAAAAATTCATAGAAAGCTTCTCTCTCTCTAGTGAAGCTGTAAAGTTTTTTTAAATTTTTTAAAGAATTTTCTTATTTATTTGTGAGAGAGCGCGTGCATGCGCCCATGAGTGGAGTGAATGGCAGAGGGAAAGGGAGAGAGAGAATCCTAAGCATCCTAAGCGATGACTCAGTATGGAGCCTTGTGCTGAGCACAGGACTAGATCCCAGGACCCTGAGATCATGACCTGAGAGGAAATGAAGAGGCTGAAATGAGTCTGCAACTTAACGGACTGAAACACCTAGGCGCCCTAAACTATAAGTTTTTAAATGATTGTTTTCATTAAGCAGTGAGCCATTATGCTGCTGCTTTTAAGCATAGTGGATGAAAATATGTATTTCAGATAGACATCATGATAATTTTTTTCTTTAGTTTTGGTCCATTACTTGACATTTGTCCTTTTTTTAGGGGAGAAGGAGCAGAGGCAGACAGAGAGGGGAGGAGAGAGAATTTTTTTTTTTAAGATTTTATTTATTTATTCGAGAAAGGGAGGGAGAGCAGCAAGCACGAGAGTGGGAAGGATCAGAGGGAGAAGCAGACTCCCCACTAAGCAGGGAGCCCTATCTGGGGCTCCATTCGAGGCTCCATTCAGGGCTCAATACCAGGACTCTGGGATCTTGACCTGAGCTAAAGGCAGACGCATAACCGACTGAGCCACCCAGGCGCCCTGGGAGAGAGAGAATCTTAACCAGGCTCCCTGCCCAGCACAGCCTGATGTTGGGCTCCATCTCATGACCCTGAGATCATGACCTAAGCTGAAATCAAGAGTTGGCTGCCCAAATGACTGAGTCACCCAGGCGCCCCTAAAACTAGATAATTTAATCTATAAATTTAATCTTCCAACATTTGTCATCTTTATCAGCCATTTTATGAGGGAAAACAGAGACTCCTACAAAAGTAGTGGAAGCATCAGTTATGTTATTTTCTTATTTTCTTGTTTATATTATTAGCATTTTCTTCAGTTCATGACTTCTTTATGGGGGATTTTTTTAAAATATTTTATTTATTTATTTGACAGATAGAGATCACAAGTAGGCAGAGAGGCAGGCAGAGAGGCGGAAGCAGGCTCCCTGCCGAGCAGAGAGCCCGATGCGGGGCTCGATCCCAGGACTCTGGGATCATGACCTGAGCTGAAGGTAGGGGTTTTAACCCACTGAGCCACCCAGGCGCCCCTATGGGGGATTTTTTTAAGCCACTTTTCCATTTTGGTAGGATTAGTTTTATTTAAAACTTGATTTTTTTTTTTTAATTTTTGGATTTTACTTACTCATTTTAGAGTTAGAACATGAGTGGGAGTTGCGGGGAGGAGCAGAGGAAGAGGGACAAGCAGACTGAGCACTCAGTGCAGAGCCCGACTTAGGGCTTGATACTAGGACCCTGAGATCATGACACCACCTGAAATCAAGAGTCAGCTGCCCAACTGACTTCAGCCACCCAAGTGCCCCTAAAACTAGATAATTTAATCTGTAAATATATTTAATTAAGCAGTTTATAATTCACGGTATGACATGTGACCATCTAACATTTAGATTGAATGATGGTGCCAGAGTGAATCTACAATGTTTTTATTTTCAGTGAAAAGAGTAAAGAAATAGTATTGATGATAATACACTTATAATAATACACTTCGGAGATTACTGTTCTAAATATATAGTACAGATATATATAATTTGATATAATTTATTATTAAATTTAATATATATACAGTTTTCTCTATTTTTCAGCATAATTTACAAAGGAGAAAAGTATCACTGAATGATGGTAAAACCTTATATATACCCTTTACCCCAAAATTTAAATTTTACTTTCAGTATTTGAAACTTCCAAGTAATGAAAGTTTTTAATATGTGTATATGTATGTCTAAAATTTTATTTTTACTTCTCTGTTACCTACTGAGGAATACAATTTGTGAACTATTAGATAACTCCACCTATTATACTTAACATTCTTTTGCCTATCAAAGACCCTACATATTTTTAAATCTGTGTGTGATCCTTTCTGAAGTCTATATTTTTTATTCTATGTATTAGTTCTTGGGAGATATTTATTAATTTTTTTGCCCAATATTTCTACTTTTGAAATGTTATTAATGTAAATAATTGTTTATTTTTAATCAGTTATGAGCAAGATTAACTCATCTCTTAAAAATACAGAAGAGTTGAGCAAAGGAAATATGAGAATATTAATCATTGTACCTTATGTTTTAATTAATTTTAGTGTGAAATTGTATTTCCTTTGACAAATGTTTGTCTTAATCTGTAGCAAATTCAACTGCCTTTGGTAAATACTACAGTAGTCATATTTAAAAGTGGTATATGGTCTCCTTATTTATCTGCCATGCTCCTCTCAGGCTTTATGATGAATAGTAAGTGGTTAGTTTTTTAAAATATATTTTGAGGATTTTTTTGTTAAATGGTTTTAAAACTTTGTTAAGTTATGAACTATGTAATTATATAGTACATTTATTTTTCAGGGATTATTATATAATAAATATCAACCAAAGTTAACTGGATTTTTTTTCTAGGCAATGAATTCTCTTGTGCCTTTTGGCAGTTTTGGCGGTATGGTTCGTATCATGAGACACAAACCATTTTAACAATATTTTCTGACAAAGATTTATTTTTCATTAACTCAAGCAAAAGTGAATTGGCATGCAGTTTCACTTATTTTCAAAATAGCTTTTTGGAATTTGTACTGAAACCTGTTTTATGTATTAATCTTAGAGTATTCAGGCATATTTTTTCTGAACTAAGTCATATCAACATAGATAAAATCAGTCTTCCAAGAAAGAAAAAATACATTTTAATAGATAAAAATTTACTTGATTTACAAAAGGAATCCCCATAGTATGTTTGAAAGTTTGGACATTTTCACATATTTATGATGACTTTCTAAAAGATGAAAAAGCACCAAACTATAGCTAGAGGAGCACATTTGGAGAAGCTCAGATTGTCTGCTCTTTCTAGGACTCTAAAGGTAGTTTGTGCGTGCTGCTTTTCCTTTCCCACATCCAAGTATGGCTCGTCTACAACCAGCTTTTCTCCCACTCCTGTTTCTTTTCTGTGATGCTAGTTTCTAATACACTGAAAAGCAGCCTGAGGAGTAGCAGAGAATAGCATGACTTTGGAACATTTCCTATGGATGCATCTGTGCTCTTATGAAAAAGTTTCTTCTGTGTTAGACTTGAATCATTTGTATCCTTAAAGTTGGATGAACCACATTTGTCCTTTCCGATCAGAGTTTCAGTGGGACGAATGACAAATTAAAAAACCAGTTATAGCCAGAGTTATCAGTAAAACAATCAGGAAGTTCAGCATGCTGTGGAAGCACAGATAGAGGAAAGCCTTTTACCCAGACCTTTTGGGGTGGTAGGGTGATGGTGTGGAGATTTATCAGAGATTTCTGGAACCTTAAGGATGAATAGGAGTTAGCCAGGAGTGTTCAACACAGAAGAAACAGCACATGCATAGACTTAGCGGCTAGGGAGCTCAAAGATATTTCGGATCACTTGGCCCTGGAGCATGAGTTGGAGAGTAGATAAAGATAGAATGGTAACCAGGGACTTCTTTTGGTCCTGGTAAGGACTTTAGACATTATCTTAAGAATAGTGGAAGCAGTTGATGAATTTTCACCAAAATAGTAATAGAAGCACATTCTCATTTTTGAAAGATTATTGTGCCTTTAAGGGAAGGAAAGATTAGAAAAGACTACAGTAGTTAAAGTGTTCTGGAAAATATTAGTATGGCTTCTATTTAGGCAGTGGCTATGGTGTCTCATCTGGGAGTTAAAGAGGTAAATGGGTAAAACTTGGGGATTTACTGGGTTGAAAGGACAGTAAAGAGGGAAAAGGAAAGTATTATGCCTACTTTTTGGCGTGAAGAATTAGCTACGTGAAAATACCACTGAGGTAAGGAGCAGTGCATTCATACAGTACAGATATGAGAGCAGGGGCGGTCAAAAGATCATTTTGGTTTGGGGTGTTGGGTATTTGAGGCATCTGTAGTATGTCCAGGTGGATTTATCTGGTGAACAATTGGATATATGCATTTAAGCCAAGCTAGAGATGATTTGTTCATTCATTCAGCAAATATTTACTGAGCCCTCCTTATGTGCAAGGGAATTATTTTTAAAGTATTGAGAATATAGTAGTGAATAAGACAGAAAAATAGCCCTACCTTCACAAAGATGATTTCTAGAGTGGGAAGACAGGCAATAAACAACAAAATAATTTCAGATAAAGTACTTCAAAGTACTATGAAGGAGATGAAACAGGGTAATGATATAATGAGAGATGGGAAGTGAAGCAGAGATTACTTTTGCAGGTGGCCTTTCTAAGGAGGTAATACTGGAATGATGAGAAGAAACTATGCTGAGAGTCAGGATAAAAACATTCAGGAAGAGAGAAGAGCTTGTGTACAAAGTTCCCAAAGGCCTTAGGAGCCCACTGGAATCTTAGCTCTAAATTGTACCCATACTTTTTGTCACTCCAAGGTGTTGGGCCACCCCACAGCAAGTACAGATGGATTTGGGATGGCTGATTTGATAGTGAATTGAAGAAAGGGCGGAATATACCTTAACATCTGATCTTTTCTTCTCTTCCTCCCCTTATTTGGGCTAGCCCTTCCAACTCTCGTGAATTGTATCTCTTAAATAGCCCTGGTTTCTCAACCTGGTGATGAAACAAAGCATTCAGAATGTTTCCTGAATTGTGTTGAATCTCTGAAATGCAGATTTATTCTATTGCAGTTCTTTGTGTCTCCAAAGATATCAGTATCTCCTAAATGTGCCTTTGTTCTTCCCTATGGTGTTAAGTGCCCGTTCTAAAGAAGAATTTGGTTTTCCCATCTGTTTCCCATTGTTACAAGTAATAAAACCCACAGGAAGGCAGGGACATAGACAGGCCTTTGATAATTCTTTATTGAATCCCAGTTTGGCATACAGCAAAAGAATCTCTAGAGGGGTTGAAATACGGGCATTGAACTACAGTGCCTTACAGGATTTAAAAGACTGCCGTTTGAGTGGAGGAATTCCTTGAATCAAACACTCCTTCTGTTTTATAATAGTAAACAATGCATCAGGTGACTCACTAAAATGTGTGCATCACTTTTTAAATTTCTTGTGAGTGTTCTAACAGTAAAACTTAAAATCAATAGCAGATTTTTCTAGAGCAGAGCTTCTCAGCCCCTGACACCACTGACATTTTAGGCTAGATAATTCTTGTTCTAGTGGGGCTGTCCTAGTCTTTGGAGGATTTTAACAGGGTCCCTGACCTTTACTCAGTAGATTACAGTTATATACCCTCCACAGTTGTGACACACAAAAATGAATATAATATTAACAAATGTCCCCTGGGAGTTAAAATCAGTCTTGACTAGGAAACCACAGTGCTAGAGGAAATAACTACTTTTCTAAAGAAGCATATGCCGTGCCTCAAGGGAATGTTCTACTGAGCCTTCTGTGGTAGGCAGCAAATTCCAGGCCTACAGTAGAGTGAATTAACCTCTATTACTTGGAACCTCTTATGATGTAAAGGAGAGCTGGAAACCTCAGAGGCAGTTTCTATCAGCTGTGTTGTACTGGTGGAAGTGACATTGGTATCTTATACCCAAGTTTTACTGATTTGCATGGTGAGATACTGAGAAGGAAGAAGGAAAAACTTGAAAACTAGTCTATGCTAGAATTGTCCCAGCCCAGAATACACTGCTCAGTATTTAAATATTAACTAAATTTGTTATGAGAAAGTTGGTAAATGTGTGTTTATATTTATATGTTCATGTGTGTATATATACACATATATGTATGCATGTATTTACAGTGGTGCAACCCCCTAATCATTTAAATGTTGGCTCTTTGAGATTTTATATATGCTTCCATTTTTTCTTTAACAAATTGCTTTTTTGTATAGTTCTTAAATTATCTTTGCCTGGCCGATTGCTGCATGAGCTCCCGCTGCGTAAATCAAGAAAAAAATTTTTCAGCTGTTTTGGGAAGGTTGATTTGCTTCTTTTGTGTTGTACTTACAGTTAATAACATACTTCCTAATGTCTTGTAGCGTACAGATGTCAACCCTTTTCAGGCAATGGACCGAATGATGTTAAATATGCGAAACAGTATGCAGGAATTACAAAGAAACTTTGTAAGTACTAAAAAATTGATGAGAATGTTATTCTCAGTTATTGGTACCCTATATTATAGTGGCTTTCAACTTTTTTTAATCATGGTCCACAGTGACTAAAAAATGTATCTTAACAGTATGACCCAGTATATAATACTTGTGTACTGTATTAAAAAACCTGAAACAAAAGTTTTGTGACAAAATGATCATACTATTTACAGTGTGTGCTTATATTTTCTGTTTTAGCTCATATTTTTAAAATCCTGGTCACAATCCAACAAATTGATTTCACAACCTACAGGTTTGAAAAATAGCGTTAATTAACTTACACAATTAAAAAAAACCAGAACAACCTCAAAAACATTTATCTTGCTGAAGGTCACTATTGTAAATGAATATTTTTATATGAATTTAGACTTTTTAATTATTTTTAGTTTGTCTACTTAAAAGGCTTTGTGGCATCTAGGAAATTAAGTTTTAGTATTTTCTTTAAAAAAGCTGAAAACAGAAATTTCAGGAATATGTTTAGGCATTGGATTATATCAATAGAGTTCAAATAGTTATAAACTGGTACTGATACTCTTTTCTACTCACAATATTAACATCAAAAAATTAACTTGATTCAATATGAAGAAGACTCATTTTAATCATCTAGTTTAGAATCTAAGGACCATTTCAGAATGTCCAAATCTAGGGCATTATTAATGATCTTCATAATCTAGCAATCTGGTACCCACAGGAGGTATGAAACTACTTGGTGTATGGCTAATTGGCTCAGCATTGGCAAAATTGCACACAGGGGTCAACCACTGACTATAAAAGCATCATAGGCTTCAGGGCATAGCATCTATATTTAAATCTAAGCTGCAAGTCTTTGATCACAAAGACTTAAGGATCTCTGAGTGTGTCACTTATTATTCCTCACAAGCAGAGTAAGAATTGGTACCTAAAATGGAAGGAAATGAGGTCCTTCCTGGGGGTGCCATTTGGATATACCATCCTGATAGTATGGTATCCTTGGTAGTACTTCAACTAGTGTTGTTACTTATTTGAATCATCTGATGTCAATTCTTCATACTTGACTAAACTCTCCGGACTTAAAATTTATATTTCCCTCTAGGGTCACCTTTCAGTGGATCCAAATGGACATTCATTTAGTTCTTCCTCAGTTATGACATATTCCAAAGTAGGAGATGAACCACCAAAGGTTTTCCAGGCCTCAACTCAAACCCGTAGGGCTCCAGGAGGAGTAAGTATTTTCTGAGCATTCTTGGAGCTTTATAAAGTTGTGGATTGATAGGTCATCTTTATTTTATTTTAATTATGAAAGCTTGATCTGGTATTCTGGGGGTAGAGATGAGGGAAGAAGACACATATCACTGTGAAGAACAATAATGCTAACTGTATTTACTTAGTTTAAGACATTTTTTTCCTCCCTTCCACCCCCACCTCAGAGCCTTTTTTCATGTAACTATCTATTGATGTTTATTCTTATCTTTACATGTTGACCAGGTAAGTAGACTCTAAAAGAAGTCTTTGTCTCATGAAATAAATGTCTATTTTCAATTTATATCTGAAGCAATAGAATTTTTTTTAACTCATGAAATACTTCAAGAATACGGAAAAGATATAGAAAATAATATAATAAATACCCACATTCCTTCCACCCAGTTTAGTCAAATCATAACATTTTTCTCTATTTGCTTTAAGTTCTCTCTTGTTTTGTTTTCTTTTTAAGCAAAAATACTAGATGCAGTTAAAGCTTTCAGTACACTATTCCTCCCTGGTTCCTTTTCCCTTTCACTCCCTCCCCACAAAAGAACCATTTTCTTGTATCTCAAACTTATGATTCTCATGTGTGTTTTTATAATTTTATTACTTATGTATGCTTCGTAAATAATATAATGAATTATTTTATGGCTTTCTAAACTTTATGTAGTTTTATGCTACATGTGTCCTCTGCAACTTGACTTTGCTCAGGCATATACTTCTGAGATTTATTCAGCTTGATATATGCAGCTCTGTTTATTTATTTTTACTTTTATATATTATCCAAAATATCAATATACCACAGTTTTTAATCTATTTTTCTGTTGATTGATACTTAGGTATTTCTGATTTTTCACTTACTTTATACATGTCTTCTTGTGCAAATGTTTTAGGAACGGTATTGTTGGTTTGTAGGAGGTGGGTGCTTTCATCTTTATGTAAAAATTACTAAGTTACTCTCACACAGTGATTGAAACAGTTGGCTCCCACAAAGCCTGGTATGAGAGTTCCTATTTCTATACTTCCTCATTAGTACTTATAGTTAAAAAAAAAAAAGGTTTGCCTGTTTACTGGGTGTGAGTAGCTCTTACATATAAGGGCATAACTTTTAATGATGCTCTTGTTACAGTGCAGACATTTTCATTTTCACTTGCTGTAAGTGACATCTTAAATGTAAACAGTTTAATTGTAGACATCCCGCAGCAAACCATGCTAATATTAATAGTCTTTGGCTATCATGAATATTCTCATAACCCATAGAGTTGATATGTAAGAGCCATGAGATTCAAGCTGATCAACATGACTGCTGAATAATCAGTTGCCCTTACTTATAGGGATGTACTCCCAACTATGATACTGTTAAGATACTGTTGAAGGCACTAAGTCTTATATAATTAAGTAATTATTTGATATACTATTTCATTACAACTTAGAAAAAGTTTAAATTGTATTGGTTCTATTTGCCCTAGACATTAATTTTAAGCAGTTCGGAAAATATCAGAGAACTATTACCACAATTCTACTGCAAGTTGGTAGTGGAACTAAGTAGTACCCAGTGTTTTTAGAGCTGTAGATTTATGGTCTTAACCTCTATTAGTAAATAGGTCCTGAGGAGTTGAGAATTATATCCATTCTCTATATATTTAAATAATAAATTTTAATTTTTATTTTCTTCATTTTTTCAGATAAAGGAAACTAGGAAAGCAATGAGAGATTCTGATAGTGGGCTAGAAAAAATGGCTGTTGGTCATCATCTTCATGACCGAGCTCATGTCATTAAAAAGTCAAAGAATAACAAGACTGGAGATGAAGAGGTCAATCAAGAGTTCATCAATATGAATGAAAGTAAGTTGTCACAGAAAATAGTATTCTTCTTCTCAAAATAGCAGCTGTACTGGTAGAACTTGATGAATGTTTTTTGTAGAAACATTCCATAAGGTGTCATTTTGAGGTAGTTTATGAATAATATGTGTGGGGACTACCAGGGACGACCTTATCAAAGTAATAAAATTGGGGTTTCATTGTTTTATAGAGATTTGTTTTTTATGCTGATTTTTGGTAATGTTATTTATTTTTTGTTCTATACTTGGAAAATGGAATCTTTTGAATTGTCATTTAGTAAGATTGCCAGTAGGCAAAATGAGTTTTTACGTATTTCTAAGGTATATTTGAAAAGTGTAAAAAAGAATAAAGAAGAAAACTAAAATTATCCATAATCCCAATCCAAAACAACTATTCAAGTTTTAGTATATTTCTTCCCCAGTAGTTTTATGTATATGTAAACACATACACTTTTTCTAAAAATTAGTATTTTACTATCTAGTTTATATTGTGCTTATTTTAATTCACCATTATAATTGTGAAAACAGTTACCTATGATGTTGTTTTTCAAAAACATTCTAAATGGTTACCTAAAAGTTTTGTGAATGGGCCATAATTTATTTAAAACATTCTTTATTATTGGGCACTTCAGTTTTTGTATAGATAAGATTTTAATTTCTTGTATTGTTAGATAATATATCATGTATATTTCAAGTACATCTTTCCATTTTCTGGATTTTATATTCATTCCTCAATGCGTTTAAGTCCTTTCAGTGTTGTAACTCTTCTCATTGTAGTTTTTAGGTTAAACTCATCTTCTACTTTCCAAAAGTATTTTGAGTAAAAGTGTTTTGTCACTTTAAATTTTTTAAATGGAAATGGTTTAAACTATCATATCATTTCAGAAAAAAATTCTCTTAGGGTTGGCTTGGACAAAGTTATTTTTATGCAATGAGATGGAAGCTACAACATCTTAACCTTTAATTTTAACCTTTATAGTTTTGTCATAATTAAATATATACAGAGTACTTACAGTAATTAAAATGTTGAAGAAAAATTTAGTGAGGGAACACATTATTATTATAAAGGCCGTCTGATAGAACAAGTATTACCATTTACCTATTGTTTTTTTTTTTTTTTAAAGATTTTATTTATTTATTTGACAGAGAGAGATCACAAGTAGACGGAGAGGCAGGCAGAGAGAGGGAGGGAAGCAGGCTCCCTGCTGAGCAGAGAGCCCGATGTGGAACTCGATCCCAGGACCCTGAGATCATGACCTGAGCCGAAGGCAGCGGCTTAAACCACTGAGCCACCCAGGCGCCCCCCATTTACCTATTGTTAATCGAAGTTAGATTGCCTAATTCATAACAAATTGGCAGTTGAGATGAGTAACCTGTCTTAGGAAACTGACAACAGAAGCTTGTGAGGTAGGCCTAGTTATGCAGGAAAACGGTGAGGTTAATAGGAAGTGCTAGTTATAGGAGAAGTACCCAAGTACAGACCAGGAAGATGACCCAGGAAGAAAGACTGTAAGTCAGTGTAATTGAGTCAAAGGGTTCATTGGGTAGAATAACATAATATGCAGGCAGATACATGAAAAACCAGATAATCAATAACCAAATTATGAATAGGAATAAAATAGAAATAGGCAAATAAAAAAAAAAAAAGGAAATAGTACTCTGAATCAAAGACCTTTATATTTGGGGCAGTTCCCTGCCTCTGTCTTGAGGTTAGGCTGAGGGAAGCACAAGGCCAGAATCAACTATGTGGGAGCCAAGGCAGCTACTGACAGTTGATATATTAATACTTGCCTCTTTATTTTGATATTTAATGTAGGTGATGCTCATGCTTTTGATGATGAGTGGCAAAATGAGATTTTGAAGTACAAACCAGTGGGACAGTGGCGCAATGTAGAAAACCCTAGGATGAGAAGCGTTGGTCATGAGAATTCAGGCTGCCGAGAACTTAAAAGAAGGTAAAATTATTTCTAAAACAAATTATATTTTTTTAAGAATTAGAAGAAAAGTAATGTAATTTTACTTCTGTCAGGAAGTTTTGAGTAACATCCGTTGTTTCTATCAACAGTATCTTTTTTGAAGGATGTAATGACTCTATATTCATCTGAGCATTCTACACAAATTTGAATTTGTATCTAAAAACCAATAATATTTTAAGATTGCATGATTAGTAACTCACTAGCAAACTATGCTTCAGAAGACGGGGCTAAAATCCTTTTAAGAAAAAGTGAAGTATTATAATGTAGTTCTTCTTAAAACAGATTTTAATCTGGATGTAGGAGGAGTTATACATTTCATGCCAGGTAAGATATTGGTATCTAGAGATCTGATAAGGGAGGAGGGGCTGTATTTGAAAGGCTTAACAAAACTCCCCTGACAAGTCAATGGTAAAAGCATTTTTAGATACTTGTGTAATACATAACATTATTTGCACCTATATTAGGTATTAGATATTTTGGAAGAATTTTCCCAAAACATTAGCCTCCTTTGGGATTACCTTTGGAATAGCTGTGCTGAAACCACACCATTAAGATTATAGAGGTTTTTCAGTTAACAAAACCAAAAGACAACTGACAGAATGGGAGAAGATATTTGCAAATGACATATCAGATAAAGGGCTAGTGTCCAAAATCTATAAAGAAACTCAACACCCAAAGAACTAAATAATCCAATCAAGAAATGGGCAGAGGACATGAACAGACATTTCTGCAAAGAAGACATCCAGATGGCCAACAGACGCATGAAAAAATGCTCCACATCTCTCGGCATCAGGGAAATACAAATCAAAACCACAATGAGGTACCACCTCACACCAGTCAGAATGGCTAAAATTAACAAGTCAGGAAATGACAGATGCTGGCGAGGATGCGGAGAGAGGGGAACCCTCCCACACTGTTGGTGGGAATGCAAGCTGGTGCGACCACTCTGGAAAACAGCATGGAGGTTCCTCAAAAAGTTGAAAATAGAACTACCCTATGACCCAGCAATTGCACTACTGGGTATTTACCCTAAAGATACAAACATAGTGATCTGAAGGGGCACATGCACCCGAATGTTTATAACAGCAATGTCTACAATAGCCAAACTATGGAAAGAATCTAGATGTCCATCAACAGATGAATGGATAAAGAAGAGATGATATATATATACAATGGAATACTATGCAGTCATCAAAAGAAATGAAATCTTGCCATTTGCGACGATGTGGATGGAACTAGAGGGTATTATGCTTAGCGAAATAAGTCAATTGGAGGAAGACAACTATCATATGATCTCCCTGATATGAGGAAGTGGAGATGCAACATGGGGGGTTTGGGGGGTAGGAAAAGAATAAATGAAACAAGATGGGATTGGGAGGGAGACAAACCATAAGTGACTCTTAATCTCACAAAACAAACTGAGGGTTGCTGGGGGGAGGGGGGTCGGGAGACAGAGGTAGGATTATGGACATTGGGGAGGGTATGTGCTATGGTGAGTGCTGTGAAGTGTGTAAACCTAGCGATTCACAGACCTGTACCCCTGGGGATGAAAATACATTTTATGTTTATAAAAAAATTAAAAAAAAAAAGATTATAGAGGTTTTTGTACATTTAGTGTAGAGTTAGAATTTAATTTGGTTCTCTGGGGGAAAAAATGGAAAACAATACCTAGTTCCTATTAAATTTACACTTGAGAGAGAGGGAGGCCTCACCAGGCCTTAAAATAGAAATCTATTCTAGGCCTTAAGAGAGTGGAGGATTGCTGCAGAAGGTGGAAGGCTTCACAGAACCAGCGGTGGACAAGTGGGTATCAAGTAAATCAGAAGCCTTGTGCAGAATTTCATGAGCTAGGATCTTTTATTTTTAAATACTTATTTAGGAATTTAGAGCCCTAATACTTTCTGTAGAAAATTAGCTTCCATATTACTTTCCGGCAATATTTGTCTCAGTTTGGGAACTCTATTGATAAAAAAAAAAAAATACAGTGCTAAGTTTGAGTACGAAATAAGGTCCCTGTTAGAGAAAGCATGCTCTTTATAGATGATCCATAAATCTGTGGCCCTGTCTGTGGCATTTCCTGTAAACCAGCACTGTCCAATAGCCCTTTCTGGAATGATTTTCTGTAATAGTGAAAATATTATGTATCTGTAATGTCCAATATGGCACCCATTAGACACATGTGGCTATTGAACCACTCTTCATATGTGGCTGATACAGCTGAGGAACTGAACTTTAAACTTTATTTTAATTAATTTAAATGTAAACGATGTGGCTAGTGGCTGCCAGTCACTAGCGTGATTAAACAGTTAAATCTATCTCAGGAAAGCAGCTGTTGCTTTCTTAAATGTGAATGAAATAATCTCCCATATGTTTTTCAAAGCGATTGTGGAAGTCTTAGATAAAACTTAAAAGTATTTTTTAATCATGTTTGTATTGATTTGTAAACTACTGGCCATTTGAAAAATGGTATTAATGTTCATACTGTATTTCTCAGGGAGAAACCTCATCAAAGTCCAGCCATTGAACATGGAAGAAGATCAAATGTTTTTGTGGACAAACTCAACATCAAAGGATCACCTGTGAAAATCAACAAAAAATAAATAGCCTTGCATTTGATTTCTTTAGTTTTGATTGTTTTAACAGAGAAAGTAATGGTGCTGGGTAATACATATAAGACCAATCTCTTGTTAAATCAGTACTGTATTTAACTTTCTTCTGATATCTGAATGTTCTTGGAAGTACTAGCTTTATATTGTCCATACTTTAGGAATAAAACTTTGATTTTCAACAATTCAAGTTGCTAAACATTCTATACACTCTTTTCTTTAAAACATACTAATTTTTAAGGCTGATTTTGCTTTTCCAATTATCTTCCTATTGGCTGTGTTTTCTTTTATATAGTCAAGATTGAATGTAGAGCTAGTTTTATCATATGTATCAGTTATAAGAAAGTAAAATATTAAAAAATAGTCTCAGTTTTCACTAACACACCACCACAGTGATGCTAAGAAAGGTACAATAATTTAAATCAGATTTCATGTGTTATATAGCCAGCTAGCTTAAGATTTAAAAAAAATAAAGCAAAATTATATTAGTACTGTTTTATGAGAAATTAGTTATTTTGATAAATTACATTAAAATCAAAGAATTCTGAATTTTAAGGAGATTTTAAATTGCTAATATATGAGTTTTATTCTTATAATTTCATTATACAGTGTATTCTTTTTTTTCCACATCACATTCTTAACATTCATCAGACTTTACATTGACCTTTCTCTTTAACTTCTTAAAGTAGCATGTTTCTGCTCTCCTTTCCCACAAACAGCTTAATCTGTCTCCACAGTTAACATTCTAAAGTTGGAATGTCCTTGGAGAAACTCTGCTCAGCCTTTTTGTGACATTTAGAAAAATGCATTTGGTATTCTGTAAACCTGAATGATTGATTGTCTCAAAATTTCTTCGACAGGTGATATGTGTTCTTGAGCAAGGTACTTAATAATTCAGTTGTTCCCTTTTATACCATTTAAAAATTCAGCTTTAGCTTTTTTATTCTAGAATTCAAGCATTAATCTGTTTTTAGAAAAAGTTTGAAGTTTATGAGAATATTAAATCTTAACCTTAAGTTTTTGTTGTTTCAGAGGAAAAAAGACCAGAAAATCCACTATCACCTTGTAATCCTAATATCTTACTTTTTTCACTTTTGAAATAGAACTATGTGATTGAGCTTATACTTTCCTATTTTCCATATTGTATCCTGTTAATTTTATTAGTCGGTGTGTTTCATGCCTGTAATTAGTTACAAAATAAGATGCATACCTGTCAATTCATTTTTATAACAAAAAGTAATTGAGCATGTATTAATTAAAGATGTTAACATTTTCCTCTTATGCATACATTGGTATACTAATAACATATTGGGAAGTTGTCATAAGGCCTGAATTCTAAATAACACTTTTGCATAAATTTACTTGATAGAGCAAAATCCCAATAGAATAGACACTGTAATACTCTTCTGCCTAAATCATTACACTGATAACTTGAATCATTATATTCAAATATGAAAACACACTTTAATAAATGTATTTAAAACTATATAACTTCTGTGCAACATATAGCAGTTACAGCATTTACAGCTATTTTTTATCCCAATTTGTTTATCATAGAAAGTAAATAAAAATTGAATTAAATATATATTTCTTCTTATGCCACAGAGCTTCATAAGGGGCCACTCATAAAACTATGTGACATAGAGTGAGTAAATGTCAATTCTTTATATTCACATGTTGCTGAAATGTGAATGACACCAAAACACAACTAACAAAACCTCCGGAGAGTCTATGTGTTACTTGTCTAAAAGAGACCACTTTATGTAAAAGATTCTCTGTCTTTTATTTCCATACTTCAGAGCTTTTTAGATTTTTTTAAAGTGGTCTCCATGCCTAGCATAGAGGCCAATGCAGGCCTTGAACTCACAACCCTGAGATCAAGACCCGAGTTGAGATTAAGAGTTGAAGCTTAACCAACTGAAGCACCCAGATGTCCCCATACTTAAGAGCTTTGTAACTGTATGGTTTATATTTAAACTTTATCCTCCCTTCTTGAAGAGGGAAGGTAATTATACTTCTATAGGAATACTTTAATATTTGTATTATTAATAACAAGGAAGCCAGTAGACTGAGATGGCTTTAATGTCTTAGTAGCCCATTTAACCAAATCAAAACAAGCTTGTTATGCCTGAAGGTTAAGATATTGAAGCCTAAAGACATCAATCACTAACAGCCAACTAGACTTTTTAATAGAAGGCAACCATTTAAGCTAAAGCCAGTAAATCAAATAATTTTCCTTGTTTGCTTCTGCCTCTTCTTTTTTTTTTTTTTTTAAAGATTTTATTTATTTATTTGACAGAGAGAGATCACAAGCAGGCAGAGAGGCAGGCAGAGAGAGAGGAGGAAGCAGGCTCCCTGCTGAGCAGAGAGCCCAATGTGGGGCTTGATCCCAGGACCCTGGGATCATGACCTGAGCCGAAGGCAGCGGCTTAACCCACTGAGCCACCCAGGCACCCCTGCTTCTGCCTCTTCTTTATAAAAGTCTCCCTTAGCTCTAGTTGGTGGAGACCTCCTAACCACTTCCTGTTTGGCCACTGCCTTACTGCAATTGATTTTTCCTCAAACTCAAACTTATTTTTAAAGATTTTAGTTTTTTTCAGTAATCTCTACACCCAGTGTGGAGCTCGAACCACAACCCCGAGATCAAGAGTCACCCGCTCTACTGATTGATCCAGCCATGTGACCCTCAAACTCAAAATGTTTAATATGCCATTTAGCTCACTGTTTTTCCTGTTCCAATTTTTTCCTCCCACTTGAAAATTTTTAAAGATTTTATTTTTTGATTGATTTGAGATACAGCATGTGCAAGCGGGGGGAGGAACAGAGGGAGAAGGACAAACAGACTCCTTGTTGAGCTCAGAGCCTGACATGGGACTTATCTCAAGACCATGAGATTGTGACCCAAGCAGAGATCAAGAGTCAGATGTTCAACCCACTGAGCCACCTAGGCACCGTGCACTTGAAAATTTTAAAGATGAATTAAGAAAAAAATCATTTTGGCATATGTGTAATCTAGGAATATCTAGTCCAAATAGTCTAAAATGTCTAAGACAAAAAGTCTGTTAACTACTTGTGCTGTTTTGCATTAAAAAATGTGGACAAGTGCATTTAAATAATAGCTTTTGTTAGTATGATTATAAGAAGAAAGGTTTCAAGATAAAAGAGTTTTTAAATATGATTTAATGATTATGAATATAAAGTTTATGAAGTACTTTAAAAAAGTTTTATGAAATATTTCTGATAAATAGGTGCATTTGGGTAGAGGAATGAATATGGTCAACTATAGTCTTCTTCCAGGTTTTATTACATAAATTAATGCTAATAAAATCTTCTAGTTTATATAAAACCAAGGTTGAACTTCTCATGATTTAAGCTTTCCAAATTTCCTATATTGATTTTATAGGTCAAGTAAGTTATTGTTGACTCCATCAATTGTGTAAAATTGCAAAATATAAAATGGTGTTTATCTAAATAAAATTACAATGCAGATCTCTCTTTTTTTTTAAAGATTTTGTTTATTTATTTGTCAGAGAGAGAGAGAGAGAGAGAGAGAGCAAGCACAGGCAGACAGAGTGGCAGGCAGAGGCAGAGGGAGAAGCAGGCTCCCCGCCAAGCAAGGAGCCCGATGCAGGACTCGATCCCAGGACGCTGGGATCATGACCTGAGCTGAAGGCAGCTGCCTAACCAACTGAGCCACCCAGGCATCCCACAATGCAGATCTCTTTTAAAGGGGTTTTAATCTTACAAGATTATTATACTACTATTTATTATAATGACTGAAAGTGTTAGCTAAAATTGTAATTTTCCAAATCTTTAGTTAACTTTTCCAGAGCTTAGAAAATATTAAATTAATCCTTGGACACTTGGATAGTTTTTCTTTCTTTTTTTTTTTTTAAAGATTTTATTTATTTATTTGACAGACAGAGATCACAAGTAGGCAGAGAGGCAGGCAGAGAGAGGGGGAAGCAGGCTCCCCGCTGAGCGGAAAGCCCAATCCCAGGACCCTGAGATCATGACCTGAGCTGAAGGCAGAGGCTTAACCCACTGAGCCACCCAGGCACCCCATACTTGGATAGTTTCTAAGTAAAAACTGATACAAGATTTTGGTCACTGAAGATGGTTTCCAATTTCTTAGAGATTATAAAATGACTATGGATTAACTGTGGAAATGTTTTGGATGATATTGTATATGTGTATTTTGCCACTTTAAAAGTTAACAGAATTAGGAGTACCTGAGTGGCACAGTTGGTTGGGTGTCTAATTCTTAGTTTTGGCTCAGGTCATTATCTCAGGGTTGTGAGATCCAGTCTGCATAGGGCTCTGATTGGCCATAATTCTTATGCTTAAATTCTCTCTTTCTATCTCTGCCTTCTGCCCCCAACAAGCTCTCTCTCTAAACACACACACACACACACACACACACACACACACACACACACACCCCTTAACAGAGATAATCTATAATAACATAAAAATTTAGCTAGACAGTTCTTGGTTTTCTGTCTTCCAGTTTTTCTTTTGGAATAAAGAAAAGTTGATTATTTTGATTAAAAGTGATTAATAAAAATAATATATTCAGGGGCGCCTGGGTGGCTCAGTGGGTTAAAGCCTCTACCTTCGGCTTGGGTCATGATCCCAGGGTCCTGGGATCGAGTCCCACATCGGGGAGTCTGCTACCCACTCTCTCTCTCTGCCTGCCTCTTTGCCTACTTGTGATCTCTGTCTGCAAATAAATAAATAAAATCTTAATAAATAAATAAATACATAGAATCTTTAAAAACATCAGCATAATTACAGAAAAATATGAATATACACACAAGATAATGAGCATGAATTCTTACTTAAGCTTAGTTTGTTAAAGTGGTTTTAGTGTTGTAGATATATTGTTTCATTTAACATAATTATATCTTTAAAGTAACCTTAATTTTATTATCATTTGCATAATTATATATTTATGTATTTTAAGCAAATACATAAAAGGCTTATAAAGACTGAATTTTTGAAAGTCTAAACAAAAGTTTATTGGGTATACTCAGCATTAATGGATTTATTCTCTAATCAGTTTACAAATCCTTTCTTGCAAATTAATACATGGATGGCATATGAAAAGTAAATTTGAAATTCATTATTGAAACTTTGATTTTTCTTTTCTTGTCCCTTGTAATTTACTCTGATTTCTATTTGCTTATTCTCATTTGTACATTCATTTAATACTTACTGAGCACCTGCCATACGCAAAGGGATACAGAAATTAACAAAACCAAATCAGTTTCCTTATGGAACTTACATTCTCATTGGGAGAGCTGGACAATAAACAGGTATGTGAAATGTCTGGATCTATCTAAGAAGTGCTCCAAAGGAAAACTAAACAGCATGAGAAGATAGGGAGGAGCCTGCTGGTTCAGAAAAGTTGGTTAGGGAACATCTCACTGAGGGGGCTACTGAAAATAAAGAAAAGGGCTGTCGCAGG